GCAGTGTGTGTGTGTGGGGTGTGTGCAGCGTGTGTTGGGTGTGTGGGACGTGTGTCAGTGTGTGTGGGGTGTGTGTCAGTGTGTGGGGACGTCAGTGTGTGTGGGGTGTGTGTGGGGTGTGTGTGTGGGGTGTGTGGCGGTGTGTGTGGCGTGTGGCAGTGTGTGTGGGACGTGTGGTGTGTGTGGTGGGTGTGTGGGCGATGTGAGTGTGTGTGTGTGCGTGTGTGTGTGTGTGTGTGTGTCAGTGTGTGGGACGTGTTTCAGTGTGTGTAGGATGTGTGTCAGTGTGTGTGGGACGTGTGTCAGTGTGTGTAGGGTGTGTGGTGTGTGTGGGGTGTGTGTCAGTGTGTGTAGGGTGCATGTGTGTCAGTGTGTGGGGTGTGTAGTGTGTGTGTGTGTGTGTCAGTGTGTGTGGGTGTGTGTGTGTGTGTGTGGGGTGTGTGTCAGAGTGTGTGTGGACGTGTGTGTCGGTGCGTGTGTCAGTGTGTGGGACGTGTGTCCCAGTGTGTGTAGGACGTGTGTCAGTGTGTGTAGTGTGTGTGTCAGTGTGTGTGTGTGTGTGTGTCCAGTGTGTATAGGGTGTGTGTCAGTGTGTGTGTAGGGTGTGTGTCAGTGTGTGGACGTGTGTGTGTGTGTGGGTGTGTGTGGTGTGGGTGTGTCAGTGTGTGTAGGGTGTGTGTCAGTGTGTGTGGGACGTGTGTCCAGTGTGTGTGGGGTGTGTGGCGGTGTGTGTGTGTGTGTGTGTCAGTGTGTGTGTGGGGTGTGTGTCAGTGTGTGTGGTGTGTGTGGCAGTGTGTGTGGGTGTGTGTGTCGTGTGTGTGGGGTGTGTGTCGTGTGTGTGGGGTGTGTGGCAGTGTGTGTGGGGTGTGTGTCAGTGTGTGTGTGGGACGTGTGGCAGTGTGTGTGGGACATGTGGCAGTGTGTGTGGGTGTGTGGCAGTGTGTGTGGGGTGTGTGGCAGTGTGTGTGGAGTGTGTGTGTCAGTGTGTGTGTGACGTGTGTCAGTGTGTGTAGGGTGTGTGGCAAGGTGTGTGTACGGTGTGTGTGGTGTGTGGCAGTGTGTGTGGGGTGTGTGTCAGTGTGTTGGGGTGTGTGTGTGGTGTGTGTGGACGTGTGTCAGTGTGTGTGGTGTGTCAGTGTGTGGGGTGTGTCAGTGTGTGTGTGTGTCAGTGTGTGTAGGGTGTGTGTGTCGGTGTGTGGGGTGTGTGTCAGTGTGTGGGGAATTGCGCCAGTGTGTGGGGTGTGTGCAGTGTGTGGGATTGTGTGTCAGTGTGTGCTAGGACATGTATGTGTGTAGGGTGTGTGTCAGTGTGTGTGGGGTGTGTCCAATGTGTGTAGGGTGTGTGGTGTGTGGAATTGACAACTGTCAGTGTGTGTGGGGTGTGTGTCAATGTGTATAGGGTGTGTGTGTGTGGGACGTGTCAGTGTATTAAGTTGTGTGTCAGTGTGTGTGGGGTGTGTGTCAGTGTGTGTAGTGTGTGTGTCAGTGTGTGAGGTGTGGCAGTGTGTGTAGGGTGTGTAGTGTGTGTAGGGGTGTGTGGTGTGTGTGGGGTGTGTGGTGTGTGTGGGGTGTGATGGCCGGTGTGTGTGTATGTGTTGGGTGTGTGCTTGGTGTGGGACGTGTCCCGGTGTGTGTGGGGATGTGTGTAGGGTGTGTGTCAGTGTGTGTGGTGTGTGTGACAGTGTGTGGGGTGTGTCAGTGTGTGTGGGGTTAGTGTGTGTCAAAGTGTGTGTAGGGGTGTGTGTCGGTGTGTGTGGGGTGTGTGTGTGTAGGGTGTGTGTGTGTGTGGGGTGTGTGTCTGGTGTGTAGAGCGTGCAGTGTGTGTAGCACGATGTGTGGTGTGTGTAGGGTGTGTGGTGTGTGGGGTGTGTCAGTGTGTGTGGGTGTGTGTCAGTGTTACAGGTGTGTCAGTGTGTATGGTGTGTGCAGTGTGTGGGGTGTGTGCAGTGTGTGGTGTGTCAGTATCTTAGGACGTGTGCTCCAGTGTGTGTCAGGAAGTGTGTCAGTGTGTGCTGACATGTGTGTCAGTGTGTGTGGGTGTGTGGCAGTGTGTTATGGTGTGTGTCAGTGTCTAGATTGTGTGTCATGTGTGTGTGGACGTGTGTCAGTGTGTAGGACGATGTGTAGGGTGTGTGGCAATTATAATGACAGTGTGTGTCGGTGTGTGGGACATGTGTGGTGTGTGTAGGGTGTGTGGCAGTGTGTGTGGGACGTGTGGTAGTGTGTGAGTGTGTGTCAGTGTGTGTGGGAACGTGTGGCATGTGTGTGGGGTGTGTGTCAGTGTGTGTGGGGTGTGTGTCAGTGTGTGTGTGATGGCAGTGTGTGTGGGGTGTGTGTGTGTGTAGGTGTGGCAGTATGTGTAGGAAATGTGTCAGTGTGTAGGTGTGTCAGTGTGTGTGTAGGACGTGTGCAGTGTGTAGGAGTGTGTCAGTGTGTGTGGGGTGTGTGTCGAGAACAGTAGTGAGATGTGTGTCAGTGTGTGTGGGACTGTGTGGCAGTGTGTGTGGGGTGTGTGTCAGTGTGTGTGGTGTGTGTCAGTGTGGGGTGTGTGTCAGTGTGTGTGGGGTGTGTGTCAGTGTGTGGGATGTGGCGGTGTGTGTGGGGTGTGTGTGTGTGGGGTGTGTGTCGGTGTGTGTAGGGGTGTGTGTCAGTGTGTGTAGGGTGTGTGTCAGTGTCAGTGTGTGTGACGGTGTCAGGTGTGTGTGTAGGACGTGTGTCAGTGTGTGTGGGGTGTGTCAGTGTGTGTGGGACGTGTGTGCAGTGTGTGTGGGGTGTGTGTCTCAGTGTGTGCCAGGTGTGTCGGTGTGTGTGGGGTGTGTGTGTCCAGTGTGTGTGTGGGGTGTGTGTGGCGGTGTGTAGTGTGTGTGTGTGTGCAGTGTGTGTAGGGGTGTGGCAGTGTGTGGGACGTGTGGCAGTGTGTGGGGTGTGTGTCAGTGTGTGGGGTGTGTGGCAGTGTGTGTGGGTGTGTGTCAGTGTGTGTGGGGTGTGTGTGTCAGTGTGTGGGACGTGTGTCAAGTGTGTAGGTGTGTGGCAGTGTGTGCTAGGGTGTGTGTCGGTGTGTGTGGTGTGTGTCGGTGTGTGTGGGTGTGTGTGGCTGTGTGTAGGGTGTGTGGCAGTGTGTGTGGGGTGTGTGGCAGTGTGTGTAGGACGTGTGGCAGTGTGTGTGGGACGTGTGGCCAGTGTTATTATGGGGTGTGTGGCAAGAGTGTGTGGGGTGTGTGTCGGTGTGGGACGTGTGGCAGTGTGTGGGGTGTGTGTCAGTGTGTGTGGGGTGTGTGTCGGTGTGTGTGTAGGGGTGTGTGTCCGGTGTGTGTGGACGTGTGGCAGTGTGTAGGGTGTGTGGGGGTGTGTGTGGGACGTGTGGCAGTGTGTGGGATGTGTGGCAGTGTGTGTGGACAGTGTGCAGTGTGTGTGGGGTGTGGCAGTGTGTGTGGGGTGTGTCCAGTGTGTGTGGGTGTGTGGTGTGTGTGGGTGTGTGTGGTGTGTGGGTGTGTCAGTGTGTGTAGGGTGTGTGGCAGTGTGTGTGTGGGGTGTGTGGCAGTGTGTGTGGTGTGTGGTGTGTGTGTGGGGTGTGTGAGGTGTGTGTGGGTGTGTGGCAGTGTGTGTGGGACGTGTGGCAGTGTGTGTGGGGTGTGTTGGTGTGTGTGGGACGTGTGGCAGTGTGTGTAGGGTGTGTGTCAGTGTGTGTAGGTGTGTGTCAGTGTGTGTGGACGTGTGTGGTGTGTGTGGGCGTGTGGCAGTGTGTGTGGACTGTGTGAGTGTGTGTAGGACGTGTGTGGCAGTGTGTGTAGGGTGTGTGTGGTGTGTGTGGGACGTGTGGCAGTGTGTGTGGGACGTGTGGCAGTGTGTGTGGGGTGTGTGTGTGGGGTGTGTGTGGGGTGTGTGTCCGGTGTGTGGGACGTGTCGGTGTGGGACGTGTGGCAGTGTGTGTGGGCGTGTGTGGTGTGTGGGACGTGGCAGTGTGTGGGACGTGTGGCGGTGTGTGTGGGACGTGTGGCCAGTGTGTGTGGGACGTGTGGCAGTGTGTGTGGGACGTGTGGCAGTGTGGGTGTGTGGCAGTGTGTGTAGGGTGTGTGGCATGTGTGTGGGACGTGTGGCAGTGTGTGTAGGGTGTGTGTGTGAGTGTGTGCAGGGTGTGTGGCAGTGTGTGTGGGGTGTGTGTGGTGTGTGTGTGGGACGTGTGGCAGTGTGTGTAGGACGTGTGGCAGTGTGTGTGTGGGACGTGTGGCGGTGTGTGTGGATGGTGTGGCAGTGTGTGTGGGGTGTGTGTCGGTGTGTGTGGGACGTGTGGCAGTGTGTGTGGGACGTGTGGCAGTGTGTGTGGGACGTGGCGGTGTGTGAAGTTGATGTGGCGGTGTGTGGCAGGGGGTGTGGCAGTGTGTGTGGGACGTGTGGCAGTGTGTGTGGGACGTGTGGCAGTGTGTGTGGGGTGTGTGTCAGTGTGTGGGGGTGTGTGGCAGTGTGTGTGGGGTGTGTGGCAGTGTTTAGTAGCTACACAGGGGCATATTAAACCGTGGTAGTAACATATGACGTGAAGTATTAAACACAGGGTGTAGTAAAATACTGAAGGTAGTAAAAACGCAAGGTGAAATACCACAGGATTTAGTAAAAACATTGCGTAGGATCACAGGTTGTATAACGGACATGGGTATTAACACACAGGGAGTTGTAAAACACAGTTGATAATAACACGCGGGGTTGAGTAATACTCAGGGTGATATAGAGCACTGAGTAGTAACGCAGTTTGTAACAATATCGAGATTTTAGTAAAATACAGGGTAGTAACACACATGGTGAAGCAATTTACAAGGAGTACAATAAAATTTCTCGTATTTACAGTGGCCTGGAGCAGGATGGTCGTGGAGTACAACCTGTGTATGTGAGTTGTTCCTCGGGCCGGGTGGAGTGGCAATACCCTCGAGCGGGACTCAGAGTCATCCTCAAATCGCCGCATAAAGACCGGGGAACGTCAAGTTCGAGGGCGCCAGGATCTACCGAGGCCACCGCTCCCTTCTGCCACTGTTCGCCCTCGACGATGGCCGTCCACGAGAGCTGTCCCGCTGCTTCACCAGCTATAAAGGACAAGCTGCTCTCTATGTTGAGGCCGAACCTGGTGCTGACGACCTCAAGAAACAAGTGGCGGCGTTCGAGTACGACCTCCAGTCGCTCTCTAAAGGAGCCATCTATGACCCTCTTGAAGGTAAGTCTCGCTGTTCTCTATTTATCTTGTGTTACCGTCAAGTGGGAAGTGTGTGTCACCCTCGAGGAGGATGTGTTGCCCGAGGGATTCTGTCACCTTCGAGGGGGAGTCTGTGACCCTCGAGGGGGATGTGTGTGTTGCCCTCGAGGGAGAAGTGTGTCCCCCTCGAGGAGTGATGGGTGTCACCTTCGAACGTGAGGTGAGTTTGTTACCTGCAAGGGGAAGGTGTAGATACCTTCCTCTCATCCTGTGTCACCCTCGTGGTGAAGGTGTGTGTATTACCTACGGGTGAGCGTGTGAGGTGAGGTCTGTGTGGCACCTCGAGAGGGTTATGAGTGAGTCATCTTGGAACGTGAGGTGTCACTTCTTTAGTTGAAATAAGCTGAGTTGTGTAATCATCAGGTGAAATAAGCTGGGGTGTGTAAATCAGGTTAAATAAGCTGGGGTGTATAATCATCAGGTGAAATAAGCTGGAGTTGTATAATCATCAGGTGAAATAAGCTGGGGTGTGTAATCAACGGGTGATCCATATTGTTTGGTGACACGGGGGAGCTGTGTTTCAAGGAAGTTTAGAGACGTTAAGATACGTTCAGTGATGTTTAGAGACATTCAGAGATGTTTATAAACGTTCAATGAGACCTAGAGACGTTAATAATGCTAAGAGACGTTTAGTGATGTTTGTAAACGTTCAGTAATGCTAAGAGACGTTCAGTGATGTTTAGAATCATTCAGTGATGTTTATAGCGTTCAGTGATGTAAAGAAACGGTCAGCATTATGGATGAGACCACTGAAATCAAATTTGACCGTGTTCAACGCATCGGGTAATCCAACCCCTCCCGCCCCCGCGACATCATAACAATATTCTCATCCCCCTGTGACCGTGACAAAGTGTTCTATCAGCGCAGTAAACTGAAAGGCACTATTGTCTTCGTCAATGAGAACCTATGCCCAGGTATGACTAAAACCCGCCAACAGCAAATGGACATGTTTAGTCATAAAACCCTTTTGTGAATCTTGTGAGGGACTCTTGGGCAAGTGGACACCCACCAGCTGTACCAGCCCCCCCCTCCCCCTTCGAAAACCCCCACCCACAGAGGTGGAACCAGCCATTGCCAGTATCTTGGCCATCACCTGTGGAGTTCCCCCTCCCTGCCGGCCAACTCGGGTACAACACGTCCACACTCTGCGGTGAGAATCGGCAATCTTTAGAACCTAGGTACAGGCGCACCTCCCACTGAAACTGAGAATCACCCCAACAGTACCAGTCATCTTAATTCTGTTGGCTGTAGCACTTATGAATATGTTACCCCCACTATTATAACTTTCTTTGACCTTCCTTTTTCACACTCCAGTGACCCTGAGTTTTTGCTGTTTCTTAGTCAGTACCAATATTCCTACACTGACGATGGTAGTGTCGTTCCCTTAGATGTACTGGGCAGTATGTGTTACACCCCCTACACAATACTCCCTCATATTGACCCTGATGCCTTTCGACAAAACTCACTGGGTTACACCAACCCCAATTGTAACTATTACTTTCCTGACTCTCCCGAATTTAGTTCTAGTCTTCTACTATTTATTTATTTCTCCTTAATTTGCCATAACATCAGCAGTATTCCTCTCCATCTAAATACCTTTCTAGATCAGTGTATATCTTATGTTGCCCGAAAATTTGATGTACTTGGGTTCTCTGAGACCAAACTCACTAACGATATTGAACTTTGCATACCATTCCTAATTATAGTATACAGTACACTGCGTCAACACGTTACGACCCTATATGTTGATACCAAGTATAACACTTCTGTAAGAGATGATTTAAAGGTTCAGGAGGAGTACATGGAGTGTTTTCACTGAATTACGTAACGACACACGAAATATTCTAGTAGGAGTAATCTACAGAAGACCCCACACTAATGTAAGGAACTTTCTTCATAAATTTTCGGAGCTTATCTCTATCATAAGTTCAGAGAGGAAACTTTGCAACATTACAAGAGATTGAAATCAGAAACTGACATCTCAGTATTAGACCTTCTTGCTACCTGTCATTCTAAACTCTTTCAGCACTATAACCAAACCCACTAGAGTAACTGCCACCCCTGCTACTGTGACAGATCATATCTGGAATAACAACACTCCTAACAATCTTGCAAGTGAAATCATTTATAACAAGCAGTTAGAAATGCTTGACGTAGCTATTATGCAAATAAGCTCCCGTCAGCATTGGGCAACCATAAGAAAACCTGGAATATCTTCAATTCTATTCAGAACAGGAGCACCCAACCTTCGGCCCCCCACTCAGCTTTTATGATAAATTATTGAGTTGTAACGGAACCCTCCCTCATTGCCAACCACTTCAATGGCTATTTTATCAATGTTGGCAAAAATCTTGCAGAGAGCAACCTAAATCACAATGAGGAATTTAGAGCCTACCTGCAAAACAGACAGCAAAATGAGCTGTTCTTATCCCCTGTCACAGCAGATGAATTACTGGCCATCATAAAAATGTCCAAAGATGCAGCAGCAGGCGAAGACAATATACCAACGAGCACCATTAAGAAAGTGGCCCACTTATTACTACCTGTTCTCCTACACATCTGTAATTCCTCCTTCATTGTCTTTCCCTGTAAACTGAAAATTGCTGTAGTTCACCCACCATATTAAAACTCTGATGACAAAGGTCTCTTCAAGAATTACTGCCCCATATCAGTCCTCCCAGCCTTGAGTAAGATACTGGAGAAGCTAGCATGTAGTAGACTAAATTCCTTCTGCAGTGTCAACAACAGCCTTACAGACACTCAGTTTGGATTTACAGCTAGAAGGTCGACTGAGAGTGCTCTGCTATCCTTTACTAATGATATCTTAAGCTCCTTTGATGACAGTCAGTTAACAGTCGGAATATTCCTGGACCTCTCTAAAGCCTTCGATACTGTCGACCATACCATCCTCCTTTCAAAGCTTCAACATTACGGTGTTAAGGGCTTATCCCACATTTGATTTACCCCATATCTGTCTAATTGGAAGCAGTATGTCTGCTATAATAATCATCAATCTGACTCCTCACCAATTTTGTATTGCATCCCTCAAGGCTCGATTCTCGGTCCTGTACTGTTTTTGTTGTACATAAACGATATAGTCCACGCCAGTACACTCATAAAGTACAACTTATTCGCAGTTGATAGTAATCTCTGTGCCAGCAACTCAGACCTCTATTCCTTGATGAGAACTCTGAAAACTGAACTGGCTAAAGTCAAGACCTTAAACTTCGAAAAAACCCACTACACAATCCTTCACAGAAGGAAAAACTTACCCCCAGATTTGGACCCTCCTTTCCCTTGGTAACACAGTCCCCAAATACAAACAATATTCTAAACTCCTAGGGGTTATTACTGATGAGAAACTTAGCTGGAAAAACCACATACAAGCCATTCACAGTAAAGTCAATAAACAGGGCAGTATCATGTATCACACTCGACAGTCACTCACTCTCACAGCAATGAAAGAAATATATTATGATCTTGTTTACCAACACCTGATACACTGTCACAACCCCCGATTACTGCACAAAAGAGAGTTGTACGGACAATGACCTACTTGAAAAAAAATGATCACCCAAAAGAACATTGCCAAACTGAAAATGTTAAAATTCGAAGATCTTAACACCTACTGCTCTGCCCCATTTGTTTACAAATCTGCCAATCACTTGCTTGACAATAATTATTTCAATTTCCGGAATAATCGGAGATACAACTTAAGGCCCCCAGAGCTACTAAGACCACCCCCCATGCGCTCCTCTCAGTCCCAGACCTCCGTAAAATATCACGGTGTAAAGGTGTGGAACAACTTACCACCACCCATCCGAGCAAAGACTACGCTCCATTACTTTAAATCATCTCTTAAAGAATATATATTGTGTAAGTATTAATATTCTTTTGTAATATGTACTTTATATACCTGCTTTTATTGTACTATCAAAACCGTTTTATCAGAAATTCTCATTCAGTTAGATAGAAATTACCATTGCAATAAATGTATTTGCCAACTACGCATGATAGTGACAGCTCTGTCTTCTTGTTCCATCTTAATACATCTCATGTTGTACTGCTTCCCTCCCTTATCATATTTATGTATATCAACTCCACTGTAAAGTATGATCTTGTCCCTAGTATTACATTCAAAATTGAAAGAGAAATAAATGGATCCCTTCCATTTCTTGATATGCTATTCATTAGAAATGGTCATAACTATAAATTTAAGGTGTACAGAAAGCCTACACAGGTAGACAGTGTCATACATTTTTTTATCGAGTCCCCTGGAATCTGACAAAATGTCAGTTTTTTCTGCTATGTTTTTGAGATGTTTGCGTATTTATGACCCTGAATTTATTGATGAAGACCTGAAACACATTCAGTCCATTGCACAAAAACTTGGGTACCCTTCATTGTTTTAAAAGGGCTAAAAATTCCTTTCATTCTACTCAAACCAGGCGGCAAATTCCTACATTTAAGAATATTTTGACTACCTTATCGCAATGAATTTGTCCCGTTAGTTCAGTCCCTTAAATTATTAGATATTAATGTTGTTTTTTTGTATGACTCAACTACTACTCATATATTAATCAAGAATAGACCAAGTTTGAATGTAAATGGAAGTGTTTACTGGATTCCATGTAGCAATTGTAATGGAAATTATGTAGGACAGACTGGGAAAGCATTGCAACTCAGAATTAAACAACACAAGTACAATATCAGAACAGCATCTGAAAGCAGTGCCCTGTTCGTTCATGTTAGGAACAATAATCATCCCATGGATTGGGAAAACAGTTTAGAAGTGTATAAATCATTTTGTGTCACAGAAAGACTTCTGGTTGAAGCTAGTTTGATTAGGGAATTGAATTCTATAAACCTTGGTGATGGTCAGTACAAAACTGATATGTTACGCAAATTTATTTGTCAGTGGCCCAAGGTTAAAAATGCTTTGAAAGCATTGGAGTTAGATG